AAAAGACCACAAAATTGGCTCTGCATGCCCACAAAATTCTTTGTCCCACTGAGATTTCGGTAGGTCTCTAGCTATAACACTGCATTTATTTAAGGCTAGACTGAAACTTATTAGGATATAGACCTGAGTCCCAGGTAACCCCTGTCACAAGTAACCCCTGCTTTGGTGGATACGTATTGTGATTCAGAGTAATTGACTATGCTAGCCCCCTGTGCTTCCTCTGTTGTGCTAATCTGCAAGTAGGAAAGATGGATTCAAGGCTCTGCCCATATCCTGCCACTCACTGTATTTGTCGTGTTCTGTTGCTCCTGGGAAGGAATAGGAAGGAAATAGTCTTTGCTCAGGAAAAACACCTGTGTGTATTCTGCCGACAAAAAGTCTTGATTTGACTGGTCTATGACCAATTGAAAAACACATTTCACATCTCCATAGTACATTTAAAGCCAAAGAATACTAAACTGCAAAGTAAGATGCCCCGAGGACTAAGTTGTTGCTACTGTACAATATAGTGAAGGGAAGTAATGAGAGAGACGGGCATCATGCACAGGGGAGGAAGAGACTCCTGTGTCTCTCCTAATGTGAACTGAAAATGTAACAGCTTAGCAGTGGATATGATAAATTTGTCAATATTTGGTGTCCTTATATTAAGGCTGGATGGCTTTCTAAAGTGATGGGATCTGGCTCAACCCAGGGTTACTGGACCTCAGTGCAGAAATCACTGGGTAAAATCCAGTGGCCTGTGTCTTACAGCAAGCCAAACCATGATCATTATGTTCCCTATTGATTCTTATGCATAGATGACGTATACTTCATTTCATCCTAATTCTGCAGCACTATTAATGGTGTTACCTCCCAAATCATCAGTGCCTATTTTGGCTATTGACCAATAAGAAAACATAGGTACCATAAACACTGCATATCATACCTTATAACAACAAAGACACCTGGGTCATACATTTGTTATGGAAAAATGCTACTAAATCTTTGGCTTGTGATAAATTATTCTTGTATGTAGCCCTTACCTACTTCTTAGTACAACAGCATTTTTTCCTGTATAATCCAAGAATTATTTGGTTAACAAAGAACTATGTTTAGAAAATGGTGAATGAAAAAGAGGACATGTATACTTTGCCTACTTTGAGGAGCTTTTGATCAAGAGAAGCATAATATAGTAAAATCTGAATGAAAATTTCTATTTATAAGAAATACAGTTTCATATTGATTTCTGATGCTTTAAATACACTTATCTAAAATACATGTAGGTATATTAGAGCTTTGTGTGGTCATGTCTGAATAAAGGAAGGTATTATTTTCTATATGAGGCACATGTTTTGAGTAAATTCCTGAAGTCAAAGGGACATTTGTCATTGACTCAGTACAAGGCAAAGACCCCTGGTTGAAACAATGGTGCAATGGCATCTGATCCCAGATCCCAACACTTGTGCATTCTGCCATGCAACAGGGTGCATCCTGCCATTACTCAGGGTTCCTGTTTAGTGTAGCCTAGGGGGCCCCCCTGGTGGGTATTTGAACCCTCCCCTTTGCCTGTCATCCCAGCTGGGCACAGACAAACCTGACTGTTTGGTTGCCTGGCCCCACAACTCTGTCATGAGCTACGGGGCAAGACACATTCAGGTGTCAGGTTGGAGTGAGCCCCACAGCTTCCCATGACCCAGCACAGAGCTTGCCTTGCTCTGAAGCTCCCAAGGGAGTTGTGGAGCAAGGCACATGGTTTGCCTGGCCTTGCAGCTCCTGAGGGATCACAGCAAGCACTGTGGCTGGTTGCGGTCAGTCCTATAGTGAGTACCCTGTATGGGGCTGCATCGTATAGTTGTCAGTCTGACAACATGGGGGGGAACCAATCATCTTACCGGCTCCCACTCTGAGTCTAAAGCCATGACGTGCAGTCCCATGCAGGCCAGCACTGTGCAGCTGTCAACTGAGCCCTGCCATGCAGCCAGAATTGGGCTACATGGCTGGGCTACTCTGCCATATGTTCAATTTAAGTTGCAATGGAAACCAGCAACAAAAATGTTCCGCATATTTTGTGAAATATTGTTGTGGCTGGTTTCACATTTTGTCATGCCCTTAGTTCCTTGAGCATGTGGCAGGGTTATCTTTTATGCATAATTAACTAGTTAATTGCATCTTAAGTGTAACATCTCCCAAGCCCAAAGATTTTACCTTCTATTTCTTAAAAGTACCATTCTTACTTAATATTTGAAAGATTCTGGAAAATGATTACTTTTTTTTAACCAATATAATATTTACTTACAATGAGCAAATGTGGCCCAAAAGCCAACATTGCTGCCTGAGCCATCCGAGACAAATTTAATCCACAGGATGTGTCCAACGATGGAGGTGTAATTTAAAGGTAAGGATTCCCCACAGTATCGTCCTATCAGCTGTCCTCTCTCATTCCCTTCACGAATCTCAAGATAATCCTTAGTGCAGCTTTCACTATTTTCCAGCTGGAATATTCTGTTTCATTAGCAGTGGAGAAGAAAATTGTACCATAAATCATAATGTAATATTTTGTAATGCTGCACATAGGGGAAAATTTCCTTCCTGACCCATGTATCCACTGACCTGAGTGATAAATGGCTGAATTCTTTAAAATCAACTCCATAATAGCCTTTTTAAAAGCTAGTTGTGAGTATAATATAAAGATCCCAGAAAGGCCCTTCTGCAATTAATTTGTGAACAAAATATGTGTGCCTTATATTCTTGTAACATCTTCTCCCCTTCCAGCAGACCTGAATATATTAATCTCTTTCCAATAAACAGACTCCCTGCAAAATGGTTCTAACCACCATCTGGATACAGTTTAGACTAATTTAAAACTAACCCTCAATTTGCAAGACAGACATTTTTGCAAGACCAACTTACTTCATGTCAAGGCAACTTTATAAAATCCCACTATTAAAATAAGCTCTCATACTTAAAAAAGAGACCCCAAACCTCTTGGCTTTTCCTGATTTAACCTTCTGGTTAAGTGAAGCTGACCAATACATTTTATGCCTGTTATATAATATTTTACATTTACTAAATACCACATCACATTTGTGTGTATATTCGACTAAATGGTCTGCTTCACATTGCTGGTATACTTATTACAGGTAAATAGTTATTTGATATTATTTTTAACAAATACCTTATTTTTTTTCTGTTTATAGCACTTGTCTTTGTTTCTCAGAGGAAGAATTTAATAACACTGTGTCTTTTAATCATGTCAGTAATCCAGTATTTACCTACTCAACCTCATTTGATACAGTGGCCTACTTACACTGTAAATACAGTTCCATTATTACTTCACTTTCCCCTCTGATCCCTAACCTGCTCTGTGAAGGATCATTGCTCTGTTTCTTGGCACTAACCTTTCATGCTGGGAAACATACAAGCTCAGAAATTAACATCATGCATAAAGAGCACTCTAACTGCACCTTGTTAAATACTCTGGGGAATCAAAATTGTTCTCTAGATTACACGCAAATTTCTGTTCTCATGTCTTCCTAGGAAATGCCTGTGACAGGCAGGAAACAGTAACATCCATTTTCTCCCTGCTTTCCCTCTACTTCTGTTATTTGATATTGCTGCTGAAATATATTTGAGATATTTAATTCACTCTGAATCCTATCATAATAACTGCATCTGGACACTGTACTATTCAGATACGTATCCCTCTGAGACCCACAGAAATGGAAAGACAAAAGATGGAGTGATGCTAAATTTCCTCCTGTTATTTATGATCTGGTGAGAGCTGATTTCTTCAGCACCCTTTGCTACTCGCTCACAATACACCACCTTGTATGCTGTTTGTGCCTGTGATGTAAACAATGACTAGTAGGGGTGAAGAAAGATTGTATGCCCCCAGTGGCAACTTCTGTGTTCTCTTTCCAAGTTACTTTGGATATGCTGCTACAGTTTTACATGCTGGCAGTTACATTTCCTACTAAACAAAGAGCTTCCTTCCTGTAGGTCTATTAAAAAGCAGAACAACAACCCCTGGAAATGGATTTACTTGAAGGACAGCTGGAGCCGGTTGCCAGGGGAGCTGAGAATGTTCCAGACACATTCAGTGTTCAGGGGATAAGAATCAGGATAGTTGGGGCTGTTGAAGGCTCCTCTGTCCATGTGCAAGGTACCCCCACAGGCTGCAATGAGAAAGAGACAGAAGAGGGAATGAAGAGACCAAATGGGGAAAATACCTTGGAAGAATCAGAGTGTTTGCTACCTAGGGAAAATAACTGAAATAAAGACTATATTTCTCCCTTCTCTTAGCTTCTTGCATTAACTAGACAGAGCAGATCTCCTTGCCAGGTGTTAAGAACTTGGCAGAAAATCCTAGATACAGGAATCAAGGAGCAAGTCACACTGTCACTGTAAGATAAAAAGCAACAGCTCGCCTAATAGAGTCAGTGAGTATGTACTGGGAAATATGAGTTTGGCCCATGGCTTGATTATTCTTTCCTAGGAGTGGCAGACATTCAAAGCACATTGGTTTGGTACAGACATTCAAAAAGCCTGAGATGCAACTGATCTAAATTAAGTAGTTTTCTGTAAGCAGCATAGTTAGATCAGCAGTGAACAGAAACATATGCACCCTTTGAGTGGGGGAGGAGGGGAGCAAATCTTAGACCGGGTTCCACCATTTTTAAACCAGCCTACCTATGCTGAACGCCTGTTCTGTTACAGGTATAAACCGGTTTCTGATAAGTTATACTGGTAAAAGTGTAATATCTGTACCTGGCCATTGAGGCAGCAGCTCATTCAATTCAAAGGTGGTATAGGGTAACACTAAACAGATTCTGTAGGAACTTGTGTTCTTAGCCAGATAAGAAGGTTAAGGCAATAAGGGATTTTGAATGCACTATTAACAGGGAGTCAGAATAAGTGCTGAAGAGTGAAGCCTAGAGGGATTCCCTTAAAAATCATTTGTTTCAGTTACCAGTAGTTTTTCTTTCAGCTTGGGGGGTTGGGAAGAGGGAACTCTTGCAAAAATCAACTTACATGAGACTGATGCAGCATAGGTAGCACGGAAGCCTTTGGCAGTACTGGCATTATTGGAGACAAAATTCACCACCAATGCATTGCCAAAAGAAGTGACAGGATGTGGCATGGTAATGCCACAGTAACGGCCTGAATAACAGCAGAACACACAAAGGAAAGGCAAATGTTACAAAGGGTATATTCTCATTGTAATAGGAATCTGGGGCAAAAATAATACTAGGACGTTAACTCCTGGCATCAGTTACTATTTTTACCACTTTTATTTGTTAATTACATCACTGCATATGCTGAGGGATTCTACATTTTCATTCCCTGTGTGAATTAAATTCACACCTCTAAGACTTTTTTGTGATACAAAGATAGACCAAACAGAGTAGCCAATAGTTTGGTGGTAAGGGTACTCAACTGAATGTGGGTACCTCAGTAAGAGCAGGGATTTGAATCTGGGCCTTACAATTTCTGAGATGATGCACTGGGTTACTGGTTTGTATCTTGCTCTCCCATTTGGACCAGAAATTCTGGTCTGGAATGAAGAAAAACTCTCTAAGCAAAAAAAAAAAAAAAATTACAGAAAGTTTCAGTTTCTATGAATTAACATTTCTGATGGAAAAACTATTGAAAGATTTCTGACCAGATCGGTTGTGAATGTGATGCTACAGAACTTCACCGTGACTTAGATGAACTGTGCTCAAGTAGCAAGGCCCTAGATACCGCAGAAGCAGCTCATTGATAATGTCCCTGGCCTTCCTGTATGAAGTTAGGAGCAATATGAAACTAAGGACCAAGTTCTATTCTTGTTACACTTTAAATCAGCAGCAACCCTACTGACTTATAGGCAGTAACTTAAACAAGTCTCTAATATTACTACAGTCTCTAATAAATCCATTGATTTTTTTCAGTGTTGACTCTCACTTAGCTTGTTAAATATTTTAATTTAAATATATGTAGGTGCTTTCAAACACATTAGACAGAAAAGGTAAATCTACAGTACCTTGAAGAGGAGCTTCATAATTATCACCTTCCAAAAGCTCTACAAAATCTGTAGTACAGTTATTTCTGCTGTCTTCAGTAGCAAAATCAGTGAATGACAGTGTAACATGGTTGACTGTTAAGAGCAAAAGTAAAAAGTTAGGGGAAAGTATGGCATTGCGCACACAACTAATTATCTGTGCACAAAGTATATTTTATGATATATCTTCATTGCAAGAAAAAAATAGCAAAAACTTTGTTTTATCCTTTTTCACTAAGTTAGTCAATGAAATAAGCTTGTGGCTCTTCACAGATTGTGAAATATAAAATCAGAAGCATCTTGGTTACTGATATTCTGAGTGACAATATTGAAAATACATGAATCCTGCTGGTAAAAAATCTGTTAACTCCTTCTATATATTGAGTAGTCCTCTCTAGAGCAGCAGGAATTAAAGATGTTATATGTACACATAAAGACATTCTTTTTAACAACCCAACAGCTTTATTATTATATACTGAATATGTGAATCCAACTGATTAATGGATCATTAACTCCCCTTAGCTAAGCTTATGTGAAATTGGATTTTCCACATAGTCAGGCTCTAAGCTACACTCTGAAAAAAGGAGATTTGGCTGTTGGGATTTTTAGACCACTGTATTGCTTTTGCTTATTCATTATGGCCATCATCTTTTGTACTTCCTGAGGACGGTATTAAGGTGAGAATGAAAGAATAACATTTTTCCTTGAAATCAATACTTGATAATAGTTTTTCTTAATTTAGGAGCATTTGTGTGTCTTGGATAGGTCAGATAAAAGGCTTATGATTTTGATGCATGTGGAAGAGCTATGTACAATATGTGTTTAGAGTGACTTAATCTTAATAACTGGCATTATGCAGGCCTAGTTTAAATAGGACAGTGTCACTGACTACAGTAGACTTGCACCCACGTGTATGAATTTGGCACAATAGTTTTGTTCACTGCAGTAGAAATAGTGAACTTTGGTAAACACAGACAAACAGGCACTGCAAGGTGCGACTGACTGGGACTCAACTCTATAGTGTCTGCATGTTCTGTTCTCTGCCTTTTGTATGCCAGTTGAGTCAATCAATTACAGCTGTTAATGCTGGTCCTCAGGATATAAAATAAAAGGTAAATCACAGCGGGTGGTAAGAATGGGAAGGCTTGTTGACCATTTCAGTACAAGTAGAATATGAACACTGCACTGCATCTTGCCAGGTACTGTAATACCGTGACTGTATAATCAACCTAGGTGCATCTGCAATATATGATGGAATTCTCATGATACGTGTTGGAATCCTTTGATTCTCATAGTGACTTACTAGCAGGGCTCCAGGGACTCTCAAGAATTATTACTGATTTACACCAATGGATATAAGAGAAGAATCAAGCATACTGTCAGCTACCTGGAAAAATATGCTTTTAGGGGAGACATGCTTTTAAAGGTTTTGTATTTTTCAGATTAGGAACAGCTTTGAATAGTTCCCTTTTCTTGTATTTCTCTGGGCATGCATTTTAAAATCTCATATCCCCTTTTACCGATCTGCTTTTTAAATTAATTAGTGTTTTCCCCTTGGCAGACTGTTCTTAATTTCATAACCAGTTTATCAAGATTACCCACAATCTTCTCAAAAGAATCTTCTTTGGGCATGGTTTTAATATCTGTGGGATAATCAGGTGAGCAGAAGCATGCAGGTCACTATTAAAAATAAACGATTAACTGCAATTACCACACACACTTATCTAGAAAGCCATAATATTTCCACATACTCCATACTGGAAAATGACACATAACAATAGATAATATTAGGTGACAACTGTGGCAGGGTGCGTTTCAAAGGGGAGCCACGAAGCCCCTAGAGTCCTTTCAGTCCTCACTTTCTGGGACAATTACCCCTTTAGTTTCCTGCCGCACTTTGATGTCTTTTTTTCTTTTGTATGAGGAAAGCTGCCCCAGGGCTTCCTAAATTGATCTCTCAAATAACCACTAGGTGTACCATGGTCTCTGCCTTATGGACTAATTGCATGGCTCCAATGCATCCTACACCATGCCCCATACCTTGCACATGGCATCCTCATTGATGTTCTCTTCCATTTAGCCCCTCCTCTGTGACTCCTGGACCCTTGATGGTCCCTCACTCTCAGCCCCTCAATCTGGGCTCCAGACCACTCAGTGGGTCCCTAGAAATGTCCTCCTACCCTTACTTCCGCCCCAAACCTCCAGACTGCTTTAGGTGTTACCCTCCACATTGACCTTCTGGAGTTGCAGCCACCTTGCTGAGGTGGTGTTCTCTCAGCAAGCTCCAAGCTGTTACTGTTGGCTCATCTCAGGGCCTGGGTTTATATCCTCCCTAAGTCCAATCCCCCTCCTGGATCAGATGACTGAAATCAACCCAGGCCATACCTGCAAGCCAGTTCAGCCCCAATCTGCCTATTCTTAAAGTGGCAAAAGCACCAAACCTCCTGCCATAACAACCATTGGCAATTGTTAGTTTTTAAATGGTAATCATTATAAACCTGAGCCCAAATTTAAGAAAACTGGTGAGCACTAGCATTCTGAAAACTCAGATTGTTTAGCTTAGGGGAGACAGAAGAGGTATTTAACAATAGGAACAAAAGGCTGTTATGATGAAAATGATAAATCAACTGTTCTGTATGCACAGGGGACAAGACAAGAAGTACTTGGACCACAGGGCAGCAAGGGAGATTTAAATTACATACTGGTAAAAAAAATGGCCTTTTTAGGGTGGTTAAGCACTCAAAAAGATTACTCAGGAAGGCTGTGGAATCTTCATCACTGGAAGATTTTAGGTGCAGGTTAGACAAGCATGTCTAGAATTGCTGAACAAGGGTTAAACTAGATGACCTTTTGAGGTCCCTTCCAGCCAATTTTTCTGATTCTATATGTGATGTATGTATTTATTTTTCCTCACATCTAGTTGCATTTAAACTTCTTAGTAAAACCCCACTCTCCCTCTTCACTTCTCATTATTCATCTGTGGAGGGAGGCTTGTAATAGGAAAATCCTGTATTTAGCGCATTTCAACTAAAAGTCCATGACAAGGCAAGTTACTAGCTAGTCCATGGATTTTCTCACAGCAGCTCTGGCTGCACATCATACTCAGTCATAGTTGGCAGTTCAGTCCTTAAATCATCCAAGATGATAATGTTGTACACTATTTTTTTTATTATGCCCTGAATCTTTTTCTATGCCAAACTTGGTTTCTGACAGATTAAAAGATCCTCATTCTCTCCAACCTACCAGGATGCAGGACTTCCCAGAGAAGAAAAGGAGGAATTTTTCATTATTAACCAAAAGGAGATGAGGATGTTAGTCATCCAGCTAAAACTTTCCCACAGAAAAGTTTTTACTTACATGGCTCCTGGGCTCGAATAATCCAGCTGCAGTTCTGATTGTTTGGATACTTGGCAGGATACAGAGGAGAGGAAATTGCTGCACCAACTGAATCTGTCTCTATGAGTCTTCCACATGCTTTAGAATAAAACACACAGTCAGACACATGTACAATGCATCTCTTAGGTGTTTGTTGTAGCAAGTACAAAAAATAAATGAATAGGAAGATATCATGCTCAGGTGTTGACTGTTCCAGGGATTCAATATTAAGATATCTAAAGAGGGAGAGACTTAATTTGTTAGAAAACAGGGTCCATGAATCAGAACCCCAGCCACAGTTACCCTTTCACTTCATCATGGTGACCCTGACAGTATAATACATAACAATTGTACCTGCACTTACCTGTGAGCTACCATCTGTCAGTCCAAAAGGGCAATTCTGGGGTCCCTGGCTAACCCTGATCCAGGGGAGCCCCAAACACCACATGCCTACAATGGAAGTTGGGATGGCAGATAGTATAGGAGCTATTCCAGCAGCTTTCTGCACTGCATGGGCAGAATCCTTTTGTGCAGCTGGATCCACTAGACCTGCACTGCATGAATCTTGTACATGTACATAATTTTTCATCCTCAATGCCTCTGCTGCACCATGTACATAAGCACATGGACTAAGTGCCAGATCCACAGAAGGACTTTGGGATCACAATGCTAAGCTTTTGTGTCAAACATCTAGGTGCTTTGCAACCTAGCAGTCCTAAGTTAGACACTCAGACTCCTTACACATGGGGAGAGCTGAGCACCTATAAATGGGAAAAACCTCTACCCTCAGCAAAAGCCCTCTGAGCAGAGCTGCCTAACCTATCCAATAGGAAACCCCAAGGCAATGGCTGTACCTTAAGTCCCACATGTTTTAGAAACATAGGTACCTAACTCTGGGCTTCAGAGAAGCTTGCAACTCTGACTGGGATTCTCAGCTCTGAATCCTCTTCAAGAATGACCCATAGAAGCCCAGTCACATCTCACAAAGCACAGAGGCAGCAGCCAGGGGTGGTATCAGAGAGCATTTTATTCAACAGTCCAGTACCACATAGGATTTCATAGTTTCATAGTTTCTAGGGTCAGAAGGGACCTGAGCAGATCATCTAGTCTAACC